TGTGGAGATGCTCCTACTTGCAACGTTCCAAGGCAGTTTTTCTCCAACCATCTTGGGCTGCCCTCCATAGGACGAGCCTCCAAAGTCACATGGTGCTATTTGCCCTGTCCCTGTCTACTTTCCCCAATTCCAATCACTATATATATAGATATATATATATACATATATGTGATATATATATGTATATATACATATATATATATGGAACCATCAAATTCACTCTGCTAAAGTCTGCAGTTCTATAGAGTTTGAGAGTGGCACTTCAGTTTTCTTTGTATAGTCACAAGGTTGTGTGATCATCTTCACTAATGTATCCAGAACATTCCCTCCCTTGTATCTACTAGCATTCAGTATTCTTCTGTTGTCTACTCCTTGTGCATGTCATGAGTCTTCATATAATACATGGTCTTTTGTGTGTAGCTTCTGAAGCTTAGCATGTTTTCCAAATTTATTCATACTGGGCTAGGAATCAGCCCTTCATTCTTTCTGATGGTTATATAATCTACATTTCATTATATGGATATCAATTATTTTTTATTTATTGATGCATGCACATGCATGTTAGTGTGTTTGCATGTGTGTGCCAGTATATGTGAGTGTGTGTGTGTGTGTGTGTGTGTGTGTGTGTTTGTGTGTGTGTGTATGTGGAAGTTAGAGATAAATGTTGAAGGCCTTTCTCAATTACTCTCCAGCATACTAGGCCTGGAGCTCAGTGATTTGCCTGCACTGTCCTGGACAGCAAAGCCTCAGCGATCCTTGGGTTTCTCCCTCTCCAGCACTGAGACTACAGATATGTGCTGGTGTGCCTGGCTTTCTATGTGGGTTCTTGGAATGCAAACTCAAGGACTCATGCTTGTGTAGCAAGAACTTTGCTGACTGGGTATCTTCAAAGCTGTTCACTTACTTCTTTATGTCTTATATGTAAATATATGTGTATTTTTTTAAGCTCTGAAGATTGAACCTAGAACATTGTGCATGCTAAGCAAGTGTTACATCAGTGAGCCACACCTCCATCCCTGCTTTTGGATTTTTGATAAAGGGCTTTTAACTCTCTTAGAAACAAGTCAGGGTAAGAAGCGGGGAAAACATATGGTAAGCAGAAGGGGAAGGGAGGTCTCTGAGCCTCGGAGTCAGTGTCATCTTTGATGTGTTTTTACAGTCCTGCTCTGGGCTGCTGCAGAACTGGGCCTTTCAGAGCTCCTGGTGCAACCACTCCTTTCCCTAATGAATGCCAACTTTTCTTGAAGGTTCTGAGAATGTTCAGAGTTGAGAAGTGGAGCCCTAGGGAGTGAGAGTGTGCTGCACACAGAGCACGTACACATGTGCACACACAGCTTGTGAGGAGGGGCGGGGCTCATGCACTCAGAGTTAAAGGGTTCTGTTCCTATTCCAGGCAGTAGATAGTCCCTAGGGTACCTGTTCTGAGCTGTAATTCTCATGGGACTAGACCTTTATTTAGCCTCTAGTAAAATATATCTCATCCTACCAGGTGTGTGTGTGTGTGTGTGTGTGTGTGTGTGTATGTATGTGTATGTTTGCATGTGTGTGTGTATGAGAGAGACAGAGAAGGAGATGGAGAGAAAGAGAGATTGTTATCCCTGGCTTTGTTGCAGGCAGAGAGGAGACAAGGCAGTGATGCTAAGTGATGATCTTAGAGAGGAGGGAGAACGGGAAAGGAGAGGCCAGAGGCGAGGTGGGGGTGGGGTGGCTAGGTGTTGACAAGTAGAATTTTTCAGAAACAGGAAAGGCCAGAAGGATGTGACTTGATTCAGGAAGAGAGAATTCTCTCATCAGAGAGAAGAGGGTTAGCTTTCAAGAAGCCTCGCCTCACACCGCAAAGAGCAGGGAAAGGAATCAAGAACTGATTAGCCTGGAACACTGGAGAGATGCAAACCTTCAGAGGCAGACTTTCCCATTAGTTCTGGAGTCTGATGAATTAGTTTTCTGGCCACAGTTCAGAAAAGGCTTGTGGACCCATCACCCCACAGCCCCACAGCAAGGGTCCTAAAGTCGACCTTTGGGGCTTTTTATATCAGGAAGGCTCTGGTGGAAGATCTCCAAAATACTTTTTACCCTTGTCCTTTTTTTTAACTCTTTTGTAAAAATTATTATTATTATTATTATTATTATAGCAAAAAGCATTGAATCTAATTTTCCCTGATAGAGGAGACTGTGAGTGCCAGGACACTTGACTGAAAGATGTGCCCTTCTCTTCACAGAATAACAGTGTTTCTTCCTGAGGCAGGTAAGAGGGACTGACTGCTCCTTAGAGCAGGGGGAAGGTGTTAAGCACTATTAAAATACATTTAAATCACTACCAATGATTAGTTCTTATGGTAAGCACTCCTTCTGGTTGTGGTGGTGGTGGTGTGTATGTGTGTGTGTAAGTGAAGATGTTGGGGCATGGGTTAATTTGATTCCCTAATTAGCACTTGTTGGACTCTCCCTTGCTGCCCTCAGTCCTTCAGACAAAAGGTCTGTCAATCCATCAGCCAGCTGGACTGCCTGTATGACGGACGAGCCAACTTGAACACTCTATGAATGCCTTGGGAAGGATCCTGATGATTATAGCTAACTTCTCTGGTTCCTGAAGGCTTGGCTTTAGCCAAGCTTGTTGGAAATGGTTGGGACCAGACCTTGTGCTATCCCAGGCCTTGGTGAACTCTCACTGAACCTGCAATGTCTCACCTCCCCTGATGTCCTAGCAGATTGACTGGGGCTAAAGTGTCAAGACTGTGATTGGTCATGGCACCCCTATCTCTGGCTCTCTAAGCATGCTCATAGGAGAGCTGAAATGTAAGAAAGATAAAAAGCTGGACAGAGCCTCGGGTTAGAAACTATCACCCTGGTCACCAGATCGTCAGAGATCTATCAAGTCTTTAGAGCCAAGAATCTCAGAGTCTTGATCTAAAAGCTCTAACAATGGTCAGTGTTAAGAAATCTGGACTTCCAGTCTACAGGGGAGCTCTAACACCTGTTGGCTAAGGGTCCCCGTTCCTGAGATTGGCACAGGGTTAATGACATTAGAGGGTACCACTTAATGCTTGGTCCTACCTGCCTATGGCTGCCACTTTGTATAGCCAAACACTAAGTGAAATAGAAGTGGCCAGAGAAGAGCATTTGAAGAGCTTCTTCGCTCTCCATGGTCTCTGTCTTGGTAGGGCAAAAAGATTCCAGCTAGCCAGTCTCTAATACTTCCAGCCCAGGAGAGGAACCAGAACTGAGTTCCTCACTTTGGGAGAGGTCTGAGGCTTGGGAAGAGCTCCTGGAAGAACAGGACAGTGACTTCCCCTGGGAAGGGGCAGCTGTGGTGAGTGGGCAGAGAAGGGTGGCAGATCCTGTATCACTGTGTCATCCCAAGAGGCTGGGCCTTTGCTGGAGATGAGGGCTCATTTGCCAGAGACCTTGTATTCAGTTCCATTCTTCTCTGTTTAGGAGCCCCATAACCAAGTCGGCACAGAGCCAGCCTCTGTATAAACTACATGAGCATGAGTGGTGTAGTCAATGGCAAACCAGGAGCCCTTCCAGAATTTCTATGTAAGCCCCAAAACTATAATGCCAAGACTGAGGAAGGAGAGTCTTTAAATAGGACTGTGATTAAATTTTCCTTCCTCCTGTTTGAAGGGCCCTGACCAGGTGGTTTGATTTGGACAACCAAACACTGGAATACAGAGTGTGAGGATCAGGCCACTGGGCAGTGACACAACACAGCAATGCTGGGGAGCTACTGTGGCCTCTACGTCTCCCACCCCACACTTGCTTGCAGCTTAGCAGCCTCTGCTCTATTCATGGACAGCTGCTTTGTATAAAGGCCTACAAATTTTCCTTAGAGTCAAGGTCTCAGGCTCAGAGATAGCCCTTCACCTTCAGGTGAGAGTTGTTTTCTGTGTGCTTTCAGGGTTGACCAGTGCAAATACAGTAGCCCCCTCTTATCAATAATGTGCATGTTCCAAGAGCCTCAGTGTCATCTCTGGTAGAATTGAACATCATCTATTCCATGGAACTAACATGGCGACCAAGTGACTGGTGGGTGAGTACTGTACACAGGGCAGATAGGCTGGAGAAGGAGATGACTAACCTTGGACAGGATGGAACAGGCCATGGAGACTGTACCATGCGACTTGATGTGCACTGTAAACCTCAGGGGTTGTTTATTTCTGGAATTTCCCATTTTCTGCTTTTGGACTGCATGGCTAATGAAAACTATGGGAAGCGAGAGTTTGGCTAAGGGAGGATTACTGCAATTCCGGTACTAGAAGGGTGGCCTGTGACCCCTGCAGGGTTTCCTCTCCAATGGCCTGGGAGTTAAGTCTCTGCTAGGACAGAAGCCACAACAAGTCACAGAGACTGAATTACTGACTTTACTGGGTCTACTGAGTTTTATCTTTATTTCATCTGCATCAGGATTTCCTAATTGGATCATCTAAAAAAGTGAGGGTTACGTGTCAAAACACCTGAATTCTCAGGGACTCCTTAAAAAAAATAAAACAAAAACCAAAAAAACTAACACAAAACAAAACAAAAAAAAGCCCCCCAAAACAAGCAAAAAAAAATCCCCAAAACAACAAAAACAAAACAAATAAAACAAAAAACAATGAATAAAACAAACAAACTAAACATCTCAACAGGTACCAGGAGCCTGATCTTCTGCTCTTTTCTTGGGCAGAGCTGGCTGAACATGGCTGCTTCTTTACGTCCAGGTGAACTGCTTGCTGAGCTCTGTAGTTATCCATTGCCAGGACAGCCCATCTTGGTCTTTCAACTGCTTGCTCAGCCGTGTAATCTTAACTTCTCACATGATCTGAGGCCTCTCCTCCCTCCTTTCCCTGCCTGTCCTTTCTCAGCCCTTCATTAATTACTCCTTATCAATCTTACTAAGTCCGTTCTGGTCCTGCTTACCTGAACCTTACCTAAGCTTTCCTGGGCTTGTTGCACTGTGAAGCTAGCAATCCAGCCTGTGCACAAACAGCCTCAGTGAAAACCCACCCACCCAGAAGTACCTTGACATGCCGGCCGTCCAGGCCCTTTGTGTGTTCGTCAAACTCCACCCCAACGGTGAAATCCAGGTCATAGTTGCGGAATGTGCTGTTGGTTTTCGTCTTGAAGTTATCACCGTCTTGAGTGATGATCTTCGTCTGAGTCAGACGCACTGCGATCTTGCGGGTGGCAAAATCAATATCTGTTGGCAGAGGGAATAGGGAAGGTTATGATGTGTGCAGCCAGACTCATTCATTTCTTTAACAAGGCAAATCGCTCAGGACCGGATACGCAGACCCAGGACACGCCGCGTTTCTTTACATATGAGAGAAGCAAGAGTTAGTTGTTGTCTTACACATAGCTCTGCTATGGGCATGATTATTCTTCTACCCCCCTCCTCCCCTGTAGTTTTGCTCCATGTGTCCCCCACCAGAACCAGCCTTAGGTCTATGCTCATCGTAGATGTTCAGATAATATGAATTTGTTAATAGAGAAATGTGGTCTGGGACAGTGGTTGCTAAAGACACTGGCCCACCACCAGCAGCAGCAGGAACAGCAGTGGAACAAGGAAACCTGTTAGAACTGTAAATCCTTCCCGGTCACTTTGTGCACTCCACTGTTAGAAACCCTGGCACTAAAGAACGAGGGCAAGGGTCAGGTCAGTCCCAATTTCCCAGCTATGTGACCTTACAGAAACTTCTTTCCCTTTCAGAGCCTCAGTTTTCCCCGGGGGATGGGGAATGAGGACGGAAAAGCTCATTTCCTACCGTTATTGCGGTAAGGAGCCGGCAAGCTTGATGGGAAAGGCTATCCAAGGTACCCAGGTGCTTGCAAGTATTCACCGCACACAGGGCTCCATTGTTGTCCTTGTCTATTTGTGTTACACAGGGACCAGATCAGCTTAGCCCAGAGCAAAAGTTTCAGAGCATATTTATGTATCCCTACAACTACCAGATCCTATAGCTGTAGCTGTCATGGGGCCCTTTATCCAGCCTGATGGGACATTCAGGCTGGGTCACCTTCTTCCCTCTAGTTTGCTTGGTCAGTGATATTTGCTCAAGCCTCCATGCTGAAGTCTCTGCTGTGCTCACAGAGCTCAGGCAGTCATCATTAGGGCTTAGGAAAAGAATGCTGTTACCCAAGTGAAAGAAAGGGGAGTGCCCCAGGCAAACACTACAGAAGAATGGAAATTGTGGAGAAATTGTGGCGAACAAGCTGTTCCTTAGCGAGCAAATCTATATTCGCTCTGTGGAAGTAGAAATCACGACCCAGAGAATTTAAATGGTGGACTCAGCCACATCCAGCTCCACAGTGTCCCTATAAATGTAGCCCATTTGTCATTCATAGCTAAGGCTCCCCAGGAAAAATTACTGCTTGTCCTGGGCTGCCTGGAAAAGTGGATCGCAGCAAAAAATTATTGCCTGTCCCAAGTTGCCTAGAAAAGGGGATGGCAGAAGAATCGGCCAGTTGCTGAGAGAATGGGTGTGTCCTGGAAACAGCAGCAGAGTCAATCTTCCTGACAAGGGATGGGAGAGTGCTATTAGGGCCCCTATGCAAATGGAAGTAAGCGCTGCTTCGCCTCCAGATTGAAAAATGACTTGGCCTCTTGGCCACCCTTTAGCGTTTGCACAAGCCAGTTAATCATGTCACCTCTGCTCCACCCTGGGGAAGGAAGCCAAATACTCTGCTGGTGGATTTCTTGTTAGATATTTCTAATCAAAAGGGTTTTAAATGTAGCTATAGAACACACACACACACACACACACACACACACACAGTACTTTCTCTTTGGACTTTGCAGTGAAAACTGTTTCCAGATATGATATTTTCACACTAGGGTTATCAAGTTTGTTTTATCTGTTTTTCTATATTAAAGGTACCTCTGAGCCTGATTTATAGCCAGGTGAAGTGAATTTCTATCTCAGAAGGAAGGGTCCAGAGACAAGCTATTTCTGAATAATATATACGGCTTATGGCTGCTGCTGTGGAAGAACAAATCAACAACAGCAAAGTGACTTTATTAAGCACACTTTTCATAACTGCCTTTTGAACAATGCAAGCCATAAAGCTGAAATACGAGCATGCTACTCAACATTAAAATGCCTTGTAATGTGCTTGCGAAGAAAGCTAAAGTTGCAAGCTGAAAGGGCAGGTGCACTTTGTAAATTAAAGAGCAGAGATGCACAGGGATCTATCACAGGAAATCTGAGAGCTGCTCAAAGTGCAGCCTCAATGGGCTTTGAACCTAGACCCCTTAATTCCCAAATCATTGACACTTCCAGGCAATAAGGGGAATCCGGGTGGAAGAACAATTTTCTCTTTTTTTTTCTTCCCTTACCATTTCCTCCTCCAGAGGACACATTTATTAGGGAATTAGACTGGCCCCTGCCTGTCTCTTCCTGGCTATTTCAGGCAGGCTGGACACCCTGGGCTTGCACTCTGCACCCTGCACCCTTAGTCCAATGTCCTCCACTGAGAGAGAGGTCAGGGATACAAGTGTCCATTCAGCACATGAATGTGAGGCCAGTGGAGAGGGAAGCATGCATCATAGTCACCTGGCCTTTTCTGCCTCAGTACTTTTCCATTTGAAAGTCCAACCAGGTATCACATAGGGCAATTACGACTCTGATGACTTGAATAACTTCATTGGCTTGTCAACACCAGCAGAAATCCAGAGTTTTGTACAATCACCTCATTCGTAGGCCATCAGACACTGACTGATTGTCAGTTAGGGACCCCTAATGACCCTCTTACAGTGTTTCTGGAGATGCTGTCTCTCTACTTTGGATATCTCCATCATCCCAATTAGTTCTGCTCAGAATGAAGTCCCTTCTCACCATCACCTGGCACCCTTACCCTGTTTAGTAAGGAAGGACTAGCATGTTGTTAGAAGTCCAGGCCCTGCTGTTTCCTAGTCCCATGTGTCCCTAGGAAATTTCCCTGCTTCTTTGGGATTCCAATTCCTCATCTTACCAAATGGAAAATAGCCCTTCTATCCTCAGGCCTAACTCCAGGCTCCAGGTCTTACACATCCATATCCCCAATAGGCTCGGATGTGTAGTGAGTATACGGAGCCAAAAAGAAAAACAAAATTCCTAGTCTAACCTCTGCCTATCTCTCCACCCTCAGCCTCTTCTCGTCTCTTCCAACCGTCTGCATACTGCCACACCCCAGCCTTCCTGTTGTCTACCTTCTTGGACACACACAAATCATTTGCACTTACTGTCCTTGCTTTTGGGACACAGCTCAGAGTCAAGCTCTAGCCGTATGTACTGTCAACTCTTTAAGTTGTCTTCCTCGACATTTGTCACGCTTCACACATTTATTCTTTTCCACTTTCCTTAAAATACTTGCAAAGTTATCTCACACAGTGTCTGGTGTTCTCTTTCAGTGCCCCTCACTTCCTCCCACCTGCCAGGAGATCAATTCCACCAGGGTAGGGGACTATCCTCTAATTAACCATTTCATCACCGGTGACTAGAAGAGTTCCTAGTGTGTTTTAGGTAGCCAATATATTGTTGAAACCTGAGCTAGTTAAGATGAAATAATGAATATAACACTAACAGTGTGCTCATTGTGGCATGAAAATAATGTGTGCCCACAATTACTGCCAACAGTCCACTGAAAGCTTTTGGGTTTATTACCCTGCGCCTCACAAATGTAACAGCAGGAAGAAAAACCAGTTGCAAAAGCAAAAGCTAGAACGGGATTTCGCACTTTGCAGATGTCCAGGAAACATTTTCTGCAGAGAGCATTCAACAGGGGCCGCCTGGTTTCTGTCTCTGGGGATACCCCTTTCCTGGTGCTGAGCTTACTAGAAACCTACTAGGCTGTTTGAAGAAAACATTGGTTTTTTTGGCTTTTTTTTTCTTTTTTTAAAGTCTGTGTATATTGCTTTAAATGGAAAAAAAAGTGGCCCTCACCATCTTTCAGGAATTGAGATAAGATTTTCTTTCCCAAATCGGGGACAATGTATAGCATAAAAGATCTAATCCTGCCCAGCTGATTTTAGGAAGCACCCCTGTTACCATCTCCACTGATGAGGTCATAATATGATTACCTGTTTTCAGGGCTGCCTTTTCCCAGTCTCTTTGCTACCCAGTCTCCATGTCTAGTCCCCTCCCTGCTCTGGCTATCTCCATGCTCACCCTTCTTGGCAGTTTTCCCTATCTTCCAGGACCATTCAGACACACTTCCAATTCTGTGCTACTGGAGGCAATAAACAGCTGCCTGAGTTAGTGTGGGAGCCTCACATGCGTCTGCCCTGGAGGCAGTCCGCTGTCCTTGGAGGATGAATTCACACGTGGTACACTGTGCTAAACATCCTCATGTATCTCCGACTCTCTTTTCTCCTTCCCCTTCAGCTCTGAATAGACAACTCCTTTTCGTATCCCATGTCTATGACTCTGCACGTGACCATGGCCAGGCCCAGCTTCATCTCTGCTTGGATTCTTTTACTTTCTCCAACACCCTATCCTGAAAGACTTGGAAAGTCTTCACTGGGACTTTCTTTGCTCTGCTTTCTGTTTAGTAACTGTGGACATTTATTGGCTAAGGTCTAAGATTATCTGGTGCCCCATCTATGACAGACTGTGCTTTTCTAAATGACAGTATCCCATCCAATCTGTCTTACAGTGTGGCTTTAACATTCTTCTCTCAGAGGAGTGAGATCTCTGGTAGTGGCCTATGAATGGAGAAAGGGAATGTACCACTTGGACCAACAGAACACAGTAAAAGAGACACCTGGTGGTTTCTGACAATGGGCCACAAAGACCATGCCTCTCTGCCTCCCCTCTCTGGGCACAGGCACATGCTGTGAAAATCCCCATACTATATGGGGAGACCATGTATATGTCCTCAGCCACAACTAAGTGAGGTCCTTGCCACCAGCCAGCATCCCTAGCTAGAGTGGAAATGGCTTCAAGAAGGCTCCAACTGCAGCCACTATCCCCTTGCACTGTATGAGAGCCCTTAAGCAAGGACCACCAGGGAGATCCACTCAACCCTAGACCAATGAGACGTAACTAAAGGTGACTCTACTTAGATGACTTCAGGGTCAGAGATAATCTAGCAAAGACTAGGAGTGCCCAAGGCAGGAGAGGAGGCACCACTGACCGATCCTGAACACACACCCTTGAGCTCTTAATGACTTTGTTAATTTGAGGTAAACTCAAAGGTTGCTGTGACACATCATTCTGCTGAGGTCAGTACCTGAGTCATAGGTGGAGGAGAGCATATTGAGTGAGCCACTCGGCTATTGACAAAGCCATGGTGCTGCTCAGAGAAGCGTCTCAACAGTGTCTCCCTCCCTACGGCACAAAGAACTAGGCCCCCAGAGAAAGTCAATTTCCTCATTGATGGACAGAGTTATAAAGTCCAAGAAAGTAATGGTTCATAGGCAGAGAACAATGTCACCCCTAATAGTATTTACACATCTGGGGATTTGCAAAGACCTCTGCAATGTTCATTCCAAATGCCAAGTGCACAAAAGGGCACCACAGGCAAACCTCATTGAGTTTCCCATCTTGAGAAGGCAACCTTGCCTTTCAGTTGGGTGTGGCAAAAATTAAACAGATCAGTGGAGCTGTTTTTGGCAGGTAGACTGACGGGACAGCCGCTCCTCATCTGCTCTTGGCTGAGTCTCTTGACTTTAATCACTGCCAGCCCCGCCCTGTAGCTGAAGGAAATCAGGTGTCCTGCTTGAGTGCTGGGAAAGTGACTCTGCATGAGGTATTTTTGTGGTGTCATCCAGGCAGGGCAAGTCCTTAGACCCCTGAGACAGAGAGCTATCAGCATCTGGGCAAAGCAGGCACAGAGACACCCACATTCTGTGTTTAGCTAGAGTTATCCCCTGTGGTAGTCAGGGAGCTGCTGAAAAGGATTGAATCAGTCTGCTCATTAGACTGAGATCAGTCTAATACAATGTTTGATTGCACATTATTACTAAAGCCCAAAGAGACAGCGAGCAATTGATGCTAGGGATTTAGGAACATCAACCCAGAAGTATCTAAACATCACAGTCACAACCTATAAGTCCCTTATGCCCACTGAGGTGCACGCCTGTGTAAAAGAGGAAGCCAGAGGTAGAGAGAGGGTTTCTTTCAGTGAGATAAAGGTGTAGCCTCAGCGGAGGATGGTAATGTTTGCCTTCCACCTTCAGACTGAGGCATTGAACTTTAGGAGTCTATCCAAGGGGCCAGACACTAAAGTGGAACTAGGTGTTATCTCTAAAGTCAACTAGGAATTATTTTTGTGAAGTATTATCATTGTGTGTATGTGCGTGGCTGGTGTGTGTGTGGGGGTTGGTGGCATGTGTGTACTATGGTATGTATGTGGACGTCAGGAGACAGCTTTTCAGTTGGTGTTTTTCCTTCCATGGTGGATTTCAGGGATTAAAGTCATGTCCTGGGGCTTGTGTGCTGAGAGTTTTTACTCAATGGACCATCTTGCTGGCCTTGGACTTGATATCATTTAAGCAAACAGCAAAAGGCAAGTTGCTTTCTGATAATAGTCTATGTGCCTGGGTTGTCTAGCACACCTAAGAAACCATGGAGCTTCCAAACAGCCTATGTGCTATGAGCTTCTGTTGTTCAAAATCACAGCTGTACAATCTAGAGAAGCCACAATGCAGGTGTTGTTATTTCTATTTGGCAGATGGAAAACTCAAGGCCCTGAAATGTCAAGAACCTGATCCCACATCACAGAGGAAGTCTTGGGCGTGGCACAGGCTGCACTCACTCTGGGCTTACTTACCGCATCTATATGATAATGTTCAAAATTATGGTTCTGAACTATGCTCTAATTGACTACATATTTGGCTCAGAACCCCATTTCCATTAGCCACTCATGTCGCTAAACAGGAATGTGACAGGAATATTTCCCTTTTGCTTAGGTCCTGTTATACTCTGTTTCAAATAGATTAGGTATCTTAGTCCTAGTAGGCAGAGCTCTGATAAGAGGAGTTTTGCCTGTCTTTCTTTAGTTGCAGAGGAAAGCCCCACAAGCCCATTCTTAGAGATACTTCTCACCACCATACACTAATCACTGGGCCTCTGTGGCCATGTGTGGCCATTTCTCTCATGTTTGAATGGCTCCTGTACATGCAGGGATGCAACTCTGTATGTGGGGAATTTCAAGGTAGAAAAGATGACCAGGGTTTTGTAGGGAAGTTCAGTAGCTAAGCTCTTTGCCCAGTGCCTGATTGCTGCCATTATTTGGAGATCCCCTATGGCAACTCACTCCAACTTCTTCCAAGTACAGCCCAGAGGTGGCCAGGACCATATGTTTCTACAGGAGAGACCTACAGACTTGCCCTGTCACTAACTTGGGTCACAAACAGATTAGCAGCCATTGACCCAGTGCAGAACTTGGATAAGCAGTGAGTGGTTTGAGTCCTGTGACAAAAGTCTCTCTCAGCCTCCGACAGCCTGAATGTCTCTAGGTAGAGAATTGGATGGCTGGTCCTTCAGTGTTTTCTATGTCAAGGCCGAAAAACAAAAACAAAAAAACCTCAAGGAGGAGTCATTGGTGGTGATGTCTGACTCAACTGTTTATCCATGAGATGGTGACGACAAGGCAGGAGACTTGACTGTTGTTCTCTCAGGGCAGACCATGCCAGTCGTGGTATGTGTGCCTATACATATGTGCATGTACTGTGTGTGAACACATGTACACATGTGTATATATCCTCTGTTTAGTGTATGTTTTCTGTCAGGCATGCACTGTACAAAGGACATTCTAACCTTATCACATTATTATTTCTAGGTAGGGAAATAGCCTCAGAGAGTTCCCAGGATTTAGCTGACTTTGCACTGCTATAACTCTGGAGAGGGTTTGCACACAGCTCGGTTGAGTCCCACAGTAGCATCTCCTCAAGGACCAATCTGCTGTCCTCTTAATGTCCCCTGTCTCCCAGTCCCCTTCACCTCTTACCCAGGGCCTTCATGTAGCCTTCAAAATTGTCATTACTCTCCATTTCCCAGGTTCCATTCTGGTCCTTCGTCATGATGGCGGTCTCTGGTGTGATGTGGACGTTTGGTAACTGTGAAGGAACAGGCTGCAGGGAGACTGCTAAACGTTACTGCTTTTATAGCTTAGTGGACCAGGTGTATAAAGATAACAGAGTCAAAGGGCATAAGCCCAACTCAGAGGAACTGCCCTTGCCTTTGCAAAGTTCAGCAGGTCTGTGGGCAGTCCAGGCACAAAGTCCTGCCGTTGCCAGGTATGCATGTCCCAGAGATCTCCATGACACACTGCCTTGGAGCAGCTCATTTTAGGCTGGCTGGCCTCCCACAGAGACCCTGGCTCCACACAGAACATTCCATACAGTTCCTAAGGAAAACAAACACTCAGTATTTGCCTCATACGTTCTGCAGGAAACCGGAGCCAGGCCTGCCCACCACATAACCAGCACTGATTTGGCTAGTGAAGCTGATCTTACATCTATAGAACTGTCCTCTGTGCCAGGCCACACTTGAACTTCATTTTGTCTCAGTTCACAAATGCTCTGTGGGTTATATTTAACAGCCTCCCCTCCTGCCACACATACATGCCACGCATAGACACACACACACAGACACACACAGACACACACAGACACACACAGACACACACACACAGACAGACATAGATACACACACACACACACACACACTCACTCACTGTACAGGTCACTCAGGGAAGATAAATGCTAAATTCAATGGTAATTTGTAAAAGACAGAGCCAGGAAAATGAACTGTGACCTGTGACAGCAGAGTCGGGCAGAAAGGACCTTTGGGGATTCATTGTTTGCCCTCCACATTCAGATTTAAGCACTTTAAAACAGTTCCCTTAAACCCCACAGGTCTTGCATGCAAGAATATAAGGAAAGCTGGCCTGGTGGGGGGAGGGGCTGGAGACAAGAAGGGCTGTTAATTGTGGTGAGCAGGAAGCCTGGGTGTGAATGGGGAGAAGGAAGGTTGGTGCTGATGTAAGACAAGAAGGAGAAACACAGGAAATCTAATCTCCTGAGGGGCCATTGCTTCAGGGAAGCTGCCCACGAGTCAAAGCACACCGAGACAAGAAAGCCTGTGTCTGCAGCTTGGACCCTGTGTGGGCTGAAAGAAGTCCTCCACTTTGGCCTGGGTCTAGACCTTGAATTTCAATTTCTGGGCTAACCTAAGGGATTCAGCAAGTGTAAAGCGACCTGGAAGCATACATTTCAAGTCAGGCCAGACAGAGTTCTCTGTGGTAAAGACATCAAAAATAGGTTCAAGACTAGAAAACATTGTAAAGCTAATTGCCAAGGGCAGGCACCCCCGGAAGTATACCGATTTCCAGGAGTTTCAAATAGCAATTAGGAAGCAGATTTAAAATCAATAAGGAAATTAAAAATTCACTCCAAAACTTTAAAAGGCATAAAGTGATATTTTAAAAAACAGAATTACTGCCAGGTGTAGTGGTACATGTCTTTGATCCCAGCACTCAGAAGGAAGAGGCAGGTGGATATCTATGAGTTCCAGGTCAACCTGGTCTACTACCAAGTTCCAGGAAAGCCAGAGTTACACAGTGAGATTCTGCCTCAAAAATATGTTGTCAGTAATTTAGAAATTAAAAATATGGCTGCTAGGGACTGTACATACCTATACTCAGGCACACACGTTCATACAAAATACAGAAATATTTTAAATATATAGCTGCTAGAATTAAAAAGGCAGTAGATGGTCTAAATAGTTTATTAAATACAGCTAAAGAGAATATCTGTAAAATGGAAGAGCTGAGAACTTTACTCAGAGGCTACATACGCTGCTTAGTTTTTGTCAGTTTGACACAACCCTAGATAGGAACCACAACTGAGAAATTGCCTCCAACAAATGATCTTGTGGGCAAATAGGAGGGGCATTTTCTTGATACACTATTGATGTGGGAGGGCCCAGTCCTCTGTGGACGGCCACCCATGACCAGGTGGTCCTGGGTTGTATATGAAAGCAGGCTGAGCAAGCCATGGAAGGCAATCCAGTAAGCAGTGTTCCACCATATTGTCTGCTTCAGCTCCTACCTCTAGGTTCCTGCCTTGAGTTTTGTCCTGACTTCCCTCATTGATGAGCTGTGATATGGATGTGTAAGCCAAATAAATCTCCTCAAGTTGCTTTTGGTCAGACTGTTTTATCATAGCAAGAGAAAGCAAGACAGTACTAACACAGAAGATACCATGGTGAAAACTCAGCTGCGGGGTGGGGGTGGGGCCTAAGCAGATAAAAACACAGACCATCCATAAAAGAACGCACAGCAGTGGGGTTGGCTTTAGGCTTTTCAATAGCCCTGGCAGAATCTACCACTACCCTCCCACAATGAGGGAAAATACTTTTAAACAAGAATTCTAAACCCAGGTTGCCTATCACTTACACACACACACACACATACACACAAACACACACACACACACTTCAGTCAGCCTATCAGCCTCAGCTCAAAGCCCAAACCAAACCACGAAGCCAGTATGTTTATGTTGGGTGATGCCGGCAACAGGAAGGATCCAGTACTTCCCGGGTTAGGTTTCCATCTGTCAGCCTGCAAACCTCAGTGTCAAAATGCTTGAGCAGAAGGAAAAGCAACTGTTGAAATCCTGCTCACTACCAAACTTTATCCCATCCTAGAAAAATCACTGAAAGCGTGTCAAGAACTTCTTTGTTGAAGTGAATTACCTGGTTACTTCTGGCCTGTGCTGGCTCCTTTCAGCCCAACTTGGCCAGCTTAAGTTGAGGTTTCAATAAAGAAGCCCTGCCTACCTTGTTTGTAGTATGTGGCTTGCCTTATCTCCTCTGTGTAAGATCCCATTGTCTTGTATCAAAATCTGATATGTTTGTCTAATCAGCTGTTCAGACTATTACCTTTATACTTTTGACAACTAAGATGCCGCATGATACAGTAACCCAACACTGTCTATAAAACGCTGGCTTTTTATTATCATCTATGGACAATGGATGGATGCCTAGGATGGCACAGAAGGCTTGGCATCTTTGACCTCATGGTGCAGCTTTCCCCTTTCTCAGTCTTGGGTCCAGAGCTCATTCGGCTGTCTCCCATTAGAACAGGTTTGTGAGAAATGAGCCGGAGTGGTGGACAGTGGTCCGGATTAGAAGGCCACTGGGGGTTCACAGGTATTTAAAGATTCTCTTGAGAATTGATGAGGCCCCTCTGGAGCCACAGTTCTTGAACTCTGGCCAGCCTCCAAGTCATCTGGAGGGCACAGCAGAGTACAGGATGCTAAGCTCCTCCCTTAACAAGTCCCGAATGAGACCCAGGAATGTGTATTTTTACAAAGTCCCTGAGGGCCATTGCCACTGCCCCAGGACCACAAGAGAAAACTATTGTATAACAAAATTGAAGGAAGCATCACTTCCTGGTCTGGACCCCTGGTTACTTACCTACCTTGAGTTTTGTGTTTATTCTCTAGCCATTGTAAGAGAGATAGACAGACAGACAGACAGACAGACAGAGACAAAGACAATGAGACAGAGAGTGGGTACATGTTCATGAGTGTGTGTGTGTGTGTGTGTGTGTGTGTGTGTGTAGAGGCCAGAAGATGATCTTGAATATCACCCCTCCTCAGGGATCACTCTTCTTACCTTTAGGGTTTTTTTTTATTACAATTTAATTTTATGTATCTGGATATTTTGTCTAAATGTATTTCTGTTGTATACAAAATGCCATGGAGGTGAGAAAAGGTGTCAAACCCTCTGGAACTGGAGTTATAGATGGTTGGGAGCCATCACCATCGAAGCTGGGTCCTCTGCAAGAGCAGCCAATGCTCTTAACCCCTAAGCCATCTTTCCATCCCTACCCATCTTGGTTTTTGATTTAGGGTCTTTCGATGGCCCGGGGTTTGCTGATTAGGGCCAGGTGACCCACAGGATCTCTGCCTCTGCCTCCCCAGCACAGGGATGACAAATGTGTTACAATGCCTGTCTTCTTAATGTGGCTTCTGGGGATCCAACTTAGGTCCTCATACCTCTGTATCAGACAGTTTCATCTACTGATCCATCTCCCAATCCCTGTCATCGTAAGAATTTAAATAGAGAAAAAGACTCCAAGGCTCCTAGAATGGTTCCTGGCATCTAGTGTCTGTCCAGCATAGTAGCAATGAAGTGGGGCTACAGCCCAAGCTGCTAGCAAGGGCCTGATTCATCATCAACCTTCAAATACCCAGAGCTTCCACATGTTCCTGCCTCCGATCTGTGTATAGATGGCAGAGGTGAACTGGGAGGAAAAGTAAGGAAGAGTGGGTGAGAAAAACAGTGGTCACTTAAGCGTCATCCACTCACATGTTCAAGGAAGATCACGTACCTTAGAAGTGGTAGCAAAGCCCTGTTTTCCAAAGTCCAATCCTAGTCCACCCTCCCTCCAACTCTGATTGTACCTATGCGTATCCCATTTTGTACCTACTTGTCTTGGTGGAATCCCTCAGGTAACTCTTGAGCCTAGAAAAAATTATCAGCCATTACTAACTGGCAAGCAGCTTTCTGGAGAATAAAGCCAAATGTGGCTTTCACTGGAAGGTTGAATCTGAGATCAGTCAGTCAGCTCTGAGTGTGCTCAACAAAAGGCCCAGGCCTGTATGAAGTCTTCGCTAGGGAGGTTCCCTTTACCAGCAGCCTTGCCCAGACCTGCCCAGGTCCTCCCAAGTCTATCTTGCTTTCCTCTTCCTCCTTCCGTATTGTGTTTCGATGTTTTCTTGTATTGAGACTCAAACCCAGGGTCTCACACATCCTAGGCAAGTGCTGCATCTTTGAGGTCTTCCCAGTTCTCTCCTTCCCTCAGAAGGAAGCTGTATGTCCTTCAGAATGAAGAAGGCTCTGTGCTCCATGTTCTCCAGTGTCTCTGGGAAGACACCATCTCTGAGGCAATGGCCCTGTGACTTTATCCCCACTGCATGTGCTCTCTGTGGGGATCAGAAAGTTCATTGGATGTGTCTGTAGGCCACAGGAGAAAGGGGACCTGGGATTTCTTTGAGTCACAGGCAGGGCTGGGCCTTGTCTCAGTTTTTTTATGTACATGGTGCCTTATCTACTTGCATCCCAGAAGGCAGAGC